TTTCGATCAATGAAAACGATGTATTATGTATATTAATATTACATGTATCTGTATTATCATAAATACTTATTCATTATACCAATACGGCTACACCAACAATTCTAGACATATTATATAATAGAATTCGCAGAGTGTCATCAGTTAACGTACTTACAAAATAACATTGTCGAATAAGCGAAATAAATAAACGAATTTTTGTCGTCGACAATAATTATAAATTTCAGTCCATAAAATGTCATATATTATAAATAATATTGTTTTTCTTTGACATTAAATTTATACAGCACGTTAATATTCCACCTTTCAATCGGTGATCACCAGACGCCGGCCCGGCGAGAGAGGGGGCAACCGGGACTATAGTCCTAGGATCCAGGTGCGACCAAAGCAACTAGATCACATATTTTACCTGATTCTTACACGAATATAAAAATTATTTGTAGTTTAACTTTATAAAATTTTACTTTAAAAAATCAATATATATTATATATTTAAAAATTAAATGTTAATAATAAAATAATTACTTTGTATCATATTATAGTATTTGTTTGTAGTAATACGATTTTTGCTTTTAAACACCATATATTCCTCAACCTTAAACATTATTTTTGTTATACGTCTTTTTTTTAAAAGACGCTGGATGTCAGTGGTTTTAGTTTAATATTTGATATTAGGATAGATTAGTTTGTCCCTGGGGCCCTTAATTTCTTTCCACAGCCCTGGCCGGACGCAATCGACATACTCGATTTTTCGTTTACCTGACTTTGGGACGCAACTGACTGTCTCAGACCTAATCTAATCTAACGTAACCTAACCCTGTCGTTTATAATATAACGGCCGCGGCGGCGGCAAGGCCGTTCCTTCCAAGCAAACGATAATTTCCCGTTGCGCCTTTTCGACGGCGACCTGCAGGACTCGTGTCTACAGCGTGACGATAGTTATTTACGTTTATTATTTAATAACTAAATAGATTCCGACTGACTACTGGCCGCTAGTACTTGATATATCATAATAATAACATAATATCAGTGATAATATTATAATAGTGTGTCAAAAAAAAAAAAAAAAAAACTTGTAAACAAGTACAAAACTTTATACGAGTAATAGAAGCATTAATATTGATACACTTTAATGGATTATAATAATATTTTGATGTGGTTTTTTTTTGGCCTGAGGGAGAGAGGGATCATGTTACACAATTTTATCGCAGTACTATATCAAACAACCACGAACCGCCACTTATAATAATAATAATACAAATATTATCAAGTATATTAATCAATAAAAATTCTAATATAAGCCGAAGTATATGGAACGTAGACGTAAACCTGTATATTATAAAATGTCCGTAACGAACATTTTAAATTAAAGAACAAATATAATTATTTAAATTATAATAATAATATCATATAAGATAAGAACAAAAAATATTAATCGAAATCGTCTATTGATTTTTAATTATATTCGTCTAACAACGAGTTTTTTGTTTAAATAACCAAAGTCCATATAGAAGAAAAAAAAAGAAACTGTAACGATATGGTGTACATGTTTTTATCATTATGTACACCTGCAGGTAATATGTATAGGTATATAAATATAATAGGTTCGGATATATTACGATTGCTCTATTTTTTTTTTTTTTTCAAAGAGTCAAAGGGGAAACAAATATTGAACATTGTGAAAATGGTGAAATTTAATCAAACTATTTAATACACTTATACGTAATTTACCTACAAGACTTCCAATCATCATTAATTCTGCGCGTGCAATAGATCAATTCCGAAATCATGTCAGAATATATAAAATAAAAAAAAACTATACGAATCTTTACACTTATTGGACACGGGATAATAATAATAGATTAGAACTATTATTAAACATAATGCAAATAGAGAAGAGAAAAGAAGAAACTTAAAGTCTTTAAAACTGTACCTGGTTAATTGATTTTGATTGAGTATTTACATATAGGGACAAATAGAATTTGTTCACCGAAAAAGAAAAACGCTTTCTAGAAATGGTATTTATAAGTATATTATAATATTATTCGAACACGTATTCAATTAAATAAACGCGATAAACCGCTCGTACTTTCGAATTTTCGATATTATTTATTAAAATTACTCGTTTACATATTAACGCAAATACAATATAATATTTCGAGAACCGATTTAACGGGATTAAACGTGTTTTCGGAATGCACGTAAGTATAATAATGTGAAATTATTATTACGTTGCACTTGGAACGTATGACAAGTATTAATTGTAGAAATTGTGTGAAATATAAGGGAAATCATTGCAGTAAAAACAAACCAGTATCGAAATGCCGTACAATAATAATATATGCGTACAAGTTAATTTTTTTTTTAACCTTTATTAGATATTACGACACGCGCGCAATAATACATATTACGTTTGGTTCTCTAATAATAATAATAATATTAATATGGGCAGTTTATGTTGCGCAATCACTACACACACACACACACACATTATATACGTACATATTATTATAGGTATATAATAGATACACATTAAAATGCCGCATCAGAGATTTTGCCAAACGTTTTAAATTATCGAGTGCTCGATAATTTAAAACGTTAACTCGCCAGGTGCATCTATTTCAATACAACGAACTGTTGCTTAATACTATGATGGCAAATTAGTGCAGAGTTTGCGCTTCGGTGAATTGGACACTGACTGATAATATGCAGGTTATATTGTTTCTTTGGCTATAACGCATAATAATATACACACTCGGCAAAGCCGATTTTCCGGCAATCGTCCGATTGGTTTCGTGAAGCGATAAGCATATTTTTAAAAGCAGTTTTGATTTCAGCGTGAAGTACACGTGTGAGCCTTTCTGAGATTCTGAGCGGATCGAGGAATGTGCCCGGTCTTACAATGGTATGTTGATTATTTTTTTCGTGTACCGTTTTTCTACCAGAAATTTTCAAGTATAGCGTTTTTTCTCAAAGGAAATCTGACTGGGGGTGGTACTTTAAAGTGGTCGTTTTGTGATTTTCCCAGGAATTTCCTTAATAAATGGGAAAACCCGTAGAAGTCGATATGACAAGATTTTCAGAAGAATATATATATATTTCAGAAATATTAAAATAAAGTTATTTTTTTAAATTTGTACCAAAACATAAAATATGAATTAATATATAAACATTTGAAGTTTTTACCCCTGTGGTGAGTAATTTATATAAAAAAAAAAAAAACAGAATTTGATTATCTATATTATTCCCGGAGATATTATAATGGGTATATATCATCATGGGATACTGTATAATTATTCAGTAAACTCATAATAGGAAAATCAACAACGGTGCCATTATTTATTATAACGCATTGCATGTAGAGTGTTTATTTAATTACAATATAAGTAATTGGTTAGCCACACGCAACAGGGTGAAAAATGACTTCCATTTTTTTTCTGTTTTTAAACTCTGAGAGTAGCGAAAGATCTATTAGTGTTACTATATAATGTACTTGGTTTTTCTTTTTGTCTCTGAGAAACTTTTCTAGCAGACGCCTAACTCCAACCGAAAAAAATCAAAAGACATTTTTGTTACATTTTAGATCTAGTTGTTGCATTGAGAAAGTCAATTTTTGATTTTCCATAGGGTTTTCATAATAGTTGGGGAAAAAACGGAAAATCAAACCGGATAAATGTATAAATATATTAATATTTCGTAATTTTAAATTCGTACGAGTTATGTTTTCAACGGGAAACATAACGCTCGGCTACGTATATGTTTTTTAGTATCGCTTACCTTTGCATAAAAAAAACACCAACATTTCAATCCAGGGTCCACGAGGCTGAAATAGTCCGTGTAACCATTTTGGTAAAACTTTCTGCGTTTAATGTAATAACGGAATACAAAATATGGTATTTAACAAGTCGTTATAATACCATACGGGTCCATCGGTGGCCCGTGCCTTACACACCTATAGGTGTATATCAAAACGATATGTAAGTAAAACGTTAAATTATAATTGTACAGCTCACGATATTCAATTTTAAATTTTAAAACAAATAATAAAACGCGTAACACAATATTGTTATTGGTATATTATATTATTATTATCATCGTCGTCGTCGTCGTCGTTTGAACAAACGATAGAGGACTTGTAATAATAATATATAATTATACAATGTACAACTGGTTGAATGACCGATTATTATAATACACGAGCATACTAATGGCATATCATACTGAACATTGTGTCGAATGTAGGTCAAAATGTAAAATAAATTGCATTAGAAATTAATATACAGGTATTACCTGTGGTGTGTACCGGCTATTATATTACCTAATTAAAAGGCATTTAGAGTTCGTTTTTTACCGTGTAAACGAACAATTAGATATGATTACATGTGTATTAACATTGATAAACGCGTGCAGTCCATATAAATCAAACGCTATTTATATCGAATCTATACAGTGGGACTGTAATCCAATATAATAGTATAATAATAGTATTATAATATAATAATATAATATAATAATGTGAGTTTTGAATATTTTATCTTTTTTTTTTTTTTTTTTAAATCTCTAAGCCGACATTTTTTTTGAAAATAAAGACTATTTTCTGAGTATTATAGTGTGTCTGTTATTTCGTATAGACGCGTCATTCGGTGACGACATGCCATTTACTCGTTTACACAAAAATATTATTAATAATATAAATGAATATATTTTATTATTTTACTGCGGTCTGCAATAGTCCACTAAAGTTTAAACAATATACTATACTAGCCGACCCGTCACGGCTTCACCCGTGATTGGTTGTTTAATTTGCCTTTGGATAATGATATATAGAACTTTTTAATCAAATTCTATCGTTTAATAATATCGGCAAATTAATATAAAAAAAAAAAAAAACGGTTAATGAAAACGTATTGAAATGTTTCAAGCGGGATTAATGACAAATATATTTTTACTAAAAATGAATGCAGATNTAAAGAATTTTATAAAACTTCTGAGTATATGGCGTTTTTTGTTTTATCTCCTGTTGAAATTAAAATCATAAGATGCTTCGGGTCCCCAGTTCGAGAAAATCTCACGTATAATTGTCCATGTGAAAAGCACTGTGTTCGAAGACCTACGCCAACGTACCTGTATGTTTGACCTTGAGCTTTGTGTATCGTGATTGCCAAAGAAACTTTAACAGAGAATTAAAACCGTTTGAACGGAAACGGCAAGTCCGACGGAATCACGGGAATTCTTGGAATAAATGCAATTTCTCCTTTTGCCAGCCCCGTAAGAATGACGGCTCCTATAACACTATTCTGCAACGATTTTATTTGTCATCTTTATTATATACGCATTGTGCGGCACGGCGGCCCGCGGGTTTACAGCTACCCGCGACCTGACCTTTTTGTTCGTCAAATTGTATCGTGTTTGACATCGGCGTGTAGGTACGAATTGTTCCGAGAAGTTTATCGCACGCACACCAAACAACATGTATACCGAATATTCGTATTAATCTTTATCTATATCTTTATATATTTATATCTACAATAATTTCTCAATTCTCTTTCTCCTTCGGGATTTCCTCTCCATAAGCTAAAATTAAAAATTGGTACTCCGATTACATTATTACGTAATCTTCAACCACCGAAGTTATGTAACGGTACAAGATGACAAATAAAATCGTTGCAGAATAGTGTTATAGGAGCCGTCATTCTTAGAGCCACTTTTGAGCTTTTAAGGAATTTTAATTTTTGGGAGTTTTTTTGTTGTAATTCGGTTATAAACACAATTTTTGTTTTGTGTTAATAAAATTGTTTTGACTTCTCAAAAATACCAAAAAGCTCGATAAAAAGTTCATTATAGGTTAATCTTATACTATTATGAAAATATCGAAGATCCGTAATCATGATTTTTTTTTTTTTATAAATGCATTCAAATTTTGATGAAAATCGTAATAATCACAGCATTTCGAGTAATATTTTCCATTGTATGTGATGGGAAAACTTTTTTGATTGCATACAAATACTCTATAATTGGAGCCGAAAAATTATAATTTGTTTTTTAGTTATAAATTAATACAATTTTAAATTCAAGTTCATACCAAAATGGGTGTTTAACCGAAATACATTCAGAATCTTGTTTATAATGATTTATATCTTTGTGTACAAATATAAATTAAATCTACCCTATGCATTTACCTACCAATTTTTTTTTATATATACACAATTTATAAAAAATAAACAAACAAACGAATTTTCAAATTAGTAGATTATTTTTACCTTTAAGGAATACCGTAACGAGTGGAAAGTTACAATATCACGATCAATTGTTTTGATAATTAGGGAAAATATATATTCGAGTATTTTCTTTACCCTAAAGATCTAAAATATATATGTATAGATATGTAGTTGTGGACTAAAAATATTAAAATATACTGTAAAAAAAATAAAAAGAATAATGATAAAAATCATGTTGGAAATGTATAAAGATCCTTATTATACGCCCTTAAAGTCCAAAAATGCCAAAATGTACAAAATATAATTTTACGTAAAATCATTACGCTATCAAACATACGAGGTCTAATCAAAAATTATCAAGACTGATAAGATAAATCGTAAACCGGTTTGAGTATGAACTTGCACGTGCTGATTCTGGTAGTTGGAAATTGCATTACGATAATGCACCAGCCCATTCAGCCCATGTTGTGCAGCAGTTTTTGGCTAAACATGATATCCCAGTTGTTTCTCAACCCCCCTAGTTACCAGGTCTAGCTCCATGTGGTTTTTTTTTTATTCCCAAAGATAAAAATAGCACTGAAGGATACACGTTTTCAAGATGTAGATGAAATAAAACAAAATGCGACGGAGTAGCTGCGAGGAGTTTTTAAAACTGACTTCCAGAGGTGTTTTCAAAAATGGCAGAAACGTTGGAGAACATGTATAGACTCAGAAGGAGCATATTTTGAAGGAGATTGAATATAAATATCTTTATCTAATAAATATGTATATTTTTTATTAACAGTCTTGNAAAACTGCTCTCAGATGAGCAAAAAGAAAACCGAAAACAGATCGCCACTGATTTGCTAGAGTATTCCGAATCTGATGAATTTTTTTTAAAATCAATTATAACTGGTGACGAGACTTGGGTATATGGCTACAATCCAGAAACAAAGGTACAATCTTCCTAATTTACCACGACCCAAAAAAACTCGTCAAGTTCGGAGTCAAGTGAAGGTTATGTTGACTGTTTTTTCGACTACCAAGGTGTTGTTCATCATGAGTATGCTCCAAAAGGACAGACCATAACAAAGGAGTACTACATTGATGTTCTTCGTCGTTTACGAGATGCTGTACGAAGAAAAGGACCTGAGTTTAAAGAGTCTGGTAGTTGGAAATTGCATCACGATAATGCACCAGCCCATTCAGCCCATATTGTGCAGCAGTTTTTGGCCAAACATGATATCCCAGTTGTTTCTCAACCCCCCTATTCACCAGACCTAGCTCCATGTGATTTTTTTTTCTTCCCAAAGATAAAAATAGCACTTAAAGGTAAACGTTTTCATGATGTAGATGAAATAAAACAAAATGCGACGGAGCAGCTGCGAGGAGTTTCTAAAAATGACTTCCAGAGGTGTTTTCAAAAATGGCAGGAACGTTGGAGAACATGTATAGACTCAGAAGGAGCATATTTTGAAGGAGATTGAATGTAAATATCTTTATCTAATAAATATGTATATTTTTTATTAACAGTCTCGATACTTTTTGATTAGACCTCGTATATTGATATAAACTAGTTTTTTGAACAGCCAATAAAAGTATGTAAAAGCGTACAAATAAAATATATGCTTTATTTATATTTATGGACAGTTTTATTTGGTGATCGATATTTCGATAATTCATGGAATCCTTGAATGTGCTCTAAAAACGTACGAAATCCTCAAACTACGAGCACTAAAATTCAAAAATGTAAAATGTAAAATGTTTGTGCATATCCAAAAATTTGAATCGTTTGGTCACGAAACTCATTTTCTAACTATTCCAGAGCATTCCTGTTACGGTGTTACCAAACCAGTGAAAATATATCTGTCCTATAATGAGTATAATGACAATAATATTATCATTATTATTTATAAATGGTATACATACCGGCACGTGTTTAAAATCGACCGGGTAAAAAACGATGTACTGCGTGGTATATAGGCGTAAATACGTGACACGCAGATTGTTGCAGAAACCGCGCGATACGAAAACGTTGAAAACTCTTTTTACATAACCTAGCCGCTGTAGCCAATGACCATGCCCGCGCATGTATAACACGCATACCCAGTGTACCCGGTACGACAATATTATCGTTTTACGTTGGAGACACCGGAATATCGCCGCAACGATTTCGCAATTCAATACGGCATTTTCGACCGGCATTTATTTGGATTATGTGTTGATTTTATCGTATAATTTATACACACGTATAATAAAATCGGCTCGCGTAGATACCAATAATATTGCATACCTACCGCAACGTCTACCTGTACCAGTATAATACAACTTATGTGGTACGTATATAGCGGCTATAGTTTATTGAACGCGTATTTATATGTGTACCTGGGTAAACGCGTCGATTTGTAAACGAGACACGTTCGCCTACAGCGGTGCACCGTGCGCACCGCATCGATGTATGATAATGATACCTGCATGCATAATGAGTACGGGTATATAACATGTGTATATTAGTTATATTGTATACCTACTTACGGGGCGACCGAACGGCATTATATAACAATAATAGTTAGGTCCGAGAGTTGCACATTTATCGGCATGCACCTAACCGAATTTATAGCGGACCAAGCTAGAAACGTTTTCGATACGATGAGGTGCTGACGGTAAAATCGAACATTTAAAATGCTCAATTTGTTCCATATTTGATAATTTTTTCTAAAAAATTGATTTTTTTTCATAACAACTGGACTGCCGTGTATTTTTTTTGAAAACTTCACTTTCCTGCCACGAGATTCCAATTGGGATCTCTGATGGTATTTTTTTTAAAAAATAATATCTCTTTAAGATTCTCGTTTATTAGGATTTTTGTGGAATATTTAGATTATGCAGTGTGACCACTACACGCCGGTATCTTCAGCATCTAAATACGAATTTTTTTGAAAGAGTTACAATGTTTTTAATATGTATTTTTTTTTACAATACAAATATCATAACATATATTATTTATTATTATTATTATTATTATATGAATATATTAAGAAATATTTAACATAACTTGTATTAATTGTATATTTTATTTTTGATAATGTGACTGGTAAATGATAACACATTCTGTGATTTTAAACCATAATAATGATGGACGGTTGATACTGTAATCAGTACAAACTCAAAATCAAATTTATACCATTATTTGATAATTTAAAGTTTTTTTTATCTTAATACTTATTTTGACTATGGGTGTATAAATTGTGTAATATGTATAAATAGTCAGATTAGAACTATATTTTACATCTACTCGTTATGAAAAATATTTATATAAAAGTTGTAATTGGTTTTTTATTATTATTTTCTTATGTTATTGTTATGCGATATTAATTCATACAAAGACTGCAATGAACAATTTTTAATTATATAAATATAAATATTATATTAATGTAAATTTATTAATAAATGGTTATATATAAAAAAGAATATTTTTATGAAATCTTAATTCAACAAAAAATTTTTGAGATTTTATATGGAATCTCAGTTAAAGGGTTATTGTAATAACAATCAAAAGATCAATCCCCAGTGCCACGAGAAACAATATGAGATCTCACGTCCTAAAAATCCAAAATCTGGTGGAAACTCTTTATTTTTGAGTCACTAAAATAATTTTTAAGTTTCAAAACAAAAATATACTCTATCACTTTTGTGAAGTTTGCTCTAAAAACTCATGCCAGGGAAGAGAATTTTTATGAAAAATCGGGTCTCATGACAGACATGTTGTTAACCAATTTATTTTAAATAATATTTAAATTTAACATTTAACGTAGTTTTTTATTGTTATTTCTTACCGTCTCAGTCTATTATTACATTTTTTACATATTGAACATTTTTTCATGCATATTTTAGAATTTTTTTCGTGCATATTTGCATACATATTTTGCTATTTTTAGCTCCTATAACTTCCGACCCCTAAAATAATAATATATGATAGCAGATAGTTCAGTAATATTCGTTTGTGGCACCACGTCAACCGCGTGTTGCGGTTTCGACTAGGAAATCGTTTGGTATTACCCGCGTTATTTATTTTATATAATTTTGTAACCACCCTATAGAGGCCTAGAGAGAGCGGTTTAGCACTTCTCATAGACTCGAAAACAATAGTCCCGAATCGGCTATTTCTCTATTTGTATGTGTTGTACCAGCTATATATTATGTTTATAATTTATTTTCGTATTAACACATATAACATATAACATTCAGCCGCATAAAGTGTTTACAATTTTAAATACCTACATCAAAGCTGTTCAGAATAAATCTTAGTAAAGTCTTCATTTTCTCCTTCGCCTTCGTCCCGGTTATTTGGGGTCGGCCACCCTCGTGCTAAACTTCCACTTGACCCGATTTCCCATCTCACATACACCGGCAGTCCTCATATAATTCTCAATCGCATCTTTTCCGGTTTTTCTCACTACCTCTTTCCTCCTACGTTTATTTTCATTAAAACTTTTAATTATTGTCGGTTGTTGTCGATCCAATGTATATTGGATAACATTTTCGTTCGTTATATCGTATCGCGCCCATGTGCGGAGTATAATAAAATAATTACAAGACGCGTTTCCATGACAACAATGATTGTCTATTAAAATAATAAAAATTTAATAATAACAAAAAATAAATAAAAACGGTTGTCAATGATAACCCTATTTTTAATCTTTCAATCTCTTTTAACCTATAGAACTGGGTTTCCCTCATTATCTCCAATATTAATGAGAATTTCAAAAAGTGCAAAATTTAATGCCTATTTTATTTTTTATAATTTATCAATAATTTTTTGGTGCAATAAATATATTTATATTATAATTGTAAGTATAAACTATACGATGCAACAATAAATGTTCACATTCGTTACATATTTAAAACGAATTTATAGCAAAAAAAAAAACGGCCAATAAGAGGGGGTTTAAACCCCAAGACCCCCTCCTCCGTGAGTACGCCCATAATATTAATTATTTAAACATTAATTAATATTGCATTTCTGTCTCTTGTTATCGTATAGTGCGGTTTTCGTATAATGTTTTTCATCGTTTTAAACTTTTGTGTTTTTAGTGCGTTTTTAGTGCTTTTACCTATGAAAGCGATTCTGAATAAAAAATTTATATTTGAATATTGAAATTTCAAGATTTTGAGGTGTAGGAAAGCTGAGCATGTCTCTGGCACCCTCACTTTAAATGTTCGATATCCCGGGAACGCCGAAAGCACAAACGAATGGCTCATTTGGAATTTCAAAACTTTGAAGTGGGGATACCGAGGGCATGCAGCTCTTTTGATAATAATTTTGACTATAATGTCGAATGCCATAGAGGGGAGATGGTGTTTAAGTGATACACGTGTATTACTTGAACATTTTCGGGTCATGTACTGTGTTCGCGCCTAAATTCCGGATTTGAGCCAACAAAAAAAAAATATCGATTACACTTGATAATTTTAACATTAAAATACTTGTTTGCGCCCAGTAGTAACATACTATAAATCAATAAAATGTTCACAACATCTCGGCAAAACCGCGGTGCGAGGTATACGTCAGGCGCTTTTTTTTTTACGCATATATAGGTATATCCAAATTAAATTGAATAGGTGCACGCGTGTACGTTTCATAATGATTGAATTATTCGAACTACACAATTATTATATGATTCGCGTACACTTATATAATATGCATATTTCATATCAAAGGAAAAATTCAAATGCGTATACCCGTAATTAATTTCAGATAGCTAATCTACACGATAGCCATACAATATTATAATAGTATATTATCATATTATACCTATACATTATGTTTTATTTTTTTTTTAGATCAGTTTTATATATTATATACTTGTTTGTTGTGCACTGATACCAGCTATTAAAAACGTACCTGTTTTAACATTATTATTATTATTATTATTTTTTTTTTTCATTCTGTTAATTGCATTAAATAACATAAATATTATGTAAATTTTAGATTTTTTTATATTTTTAATGCACGTACACTATAGGTACTTAACGTATACGATTAATATATTATTATACAACTCGTTTTTTACACATATATATAAATAATGGGCCGGTACTCGAACAATACGCATAGCTGTTACCCGTTCGCATCTCGTTAAGACTATAAAAATTCCGCACTGCAATACTGTATCGCGGCTTCTATCCGCAATAATAGTAATTCTGGTTCGGAAAAGTTATATTGATTACACGGCCGAATGTACGGATATACTATTATTATTATTATTATTATTGTTATTATACCGATCGGAGTAGCGACCGTGGTCATATACGCGGCGCTCCGAAAAACTCCGTCCGATTACGAATTGATACGTTACCAACAATCGTCTCGGTCGCAGGCAAAGGAACCACCACGTAACATGCCGATAGAAAGATAATAGATATGGTCGAGTTCGTTTTAATTAGGTTTTTTGAATCTTCGTTTCTGATGAATGTTTTTTTTTTT